GTGACAGCTCTGTCCATTTATTTTCTTTAAATGTAATTATTCCCCAAACAGATTTGGGTAATACATTTTTAGCTTCAGTGTTGACTTTGTCGAGCGGAGCTTGTCATATGAGTAATTGTCCACAGTCTTCCACGTCAGCTTGTTATAATTTCGACTTCTTCTTGAAAACAACAAGCCTGATTTCTTTGATGCTTATTGTATATGGGTAGATCTTCCTTAGATTTGTTCATTTTGTGTTTAAATATTCAAATCTCTAATTTAGATGATTATTTCTGTCGTTATTGATAAAAAGTGTTATTTTGACTTCTTCTTGAAACAACGCAAGTGTGATTGTTTTGATATTGTACATATACCAGCTAGGTGCTACATTTTGACCTCTCAGATTGGTTCATTTTGTGATAATATCTTTAATTCTCTAATTGAAATGTGCATTGCTACCAGCAGAGCTTTCTCAGCTGAAAGGCTGCTCGTCGTCTATTTTTTTGGCAATTCCTTTTAAAAATTTGGAAAGGTCTTGATAAATCTTTGGAAAAAAAATCAGAAAAAAAAAATAAGCTACCCAACTTTCACTTATTAATGGCTTTGGCATAGTTAGAGTAGTTACTCTTTCTGTCACAGTACAATAAAATATTTTATAAACTGTTTACAGGTGGAAATAAAGAATGACAATGTTGTGGTTAAAACAAATAAAAAGGTATGTCCACTGTATTTACTCAATTCAATAATTAACATACATGTATATCACTTTTGCTTCAGTGAAAGCACATGTGAGCCAAGAACTCACTATGCTAATTGATCGTTAGAGTAGAACTATGGTGCTGCTATCATCAAGGAATCTTACCAGACTGAGCACCAAAACAGTCTGGTAATAGTGACCAAGTAGGAGAACTCTAATGAAGTTACACTGTGAATTCAATGAGATTTAGGTGTTTTTTTGCAGCCCCCGGGTTGTGTGTCACAGTGTGTGTTATGTGACGTAACGTAACGTAACGTAAAAATGACCTTTTAACCTGTAGATATCGTACCTCATATGTATGTATGCATTTTGCATTCCATTGCAAATCACCGGCTTAGCTCATACAGTAGAGTGATCATGCATCAAAAACTTATAAATATTCCCATTAATAAGTAGTGAAGGGAAAATTGTACTCTCCACTTGGATCATGTGAGAACAAAGTACTGGTAGTTCTAAAAAAACAGGCTACTTACTGGTAAATGCATCAATGAAAGATTTCATGGTTAGAACAAAGAAACTGGTAAAGGTGGACCATGTAGAACAAAAAAAATGTACCTGCTCGTAGATATTAGAATTCAGGCAATAAAAAATAATTACAATTTCCTAAATATACTGGTACTTTTATTATGATGTTATGTGTATTGTTATGTTTACAGGCCTTAGAAAAAAATAGAAGAATCAAGTCGATGTCAACTAGATTGCCGGAAGAAGACAAGACGTTTCTACTCATAGGTGGAGGTAAGTGCACGTATTAGACTATATTCCCTGTTACAGATGCAAATGGCCACTGAGTGCTCTTATTGAGAGCAAGAGAACTACTTGTTTTTGCCCCTCAAAAGTGTTCCACATTCTCACGTTATCACGCTCACTGTTGAATTGAATTGTTACATAGATCAGGAAAATTGTGATTGACGAAAGAGAATGAAACACTATTTGAGGGTAAATACGAGACACATGGTTCCTTTGCTCTCAGTATGATCTCGATGGTCACTTCTGTCTTAGATTTATTAGTGCAGATACAAGTACAGTTTATAGCTGTTTTGATTCAGTTTTTTTTTTATGGAAAATTAAATGAAGTGATGTTTTGATACTTATGCAATTGAATAGCATTTCTGGTTCTCCAATAAGTTGATTTGTTATTACTCAAATCGCAGTCCCTCTATCACAATATAATGATAGAGGGACTGTACTCAAATTTTAGATACTGCAGATAGTATTATACCTTATACATCATAGTTTCACTTGTAGGAGCTCCTGTCCAAGGAAATTTCAAAATTGGAATAAGACAATTTCAAGTTTGTATTTATTTGCTTGTTTGTAGGTGCGGCCTCTGAGGTTTGTGCAGAAACACTTCGCCAAGAAGGCTTCAAAGGAAGGGTTGTCATAGCAACAAAAGAAAAATATCTGCCTTATGATAGACCAAAGCTCAGTAAAGTAAGTTCAGTATTTAATTTAACTCTATCATCTTATTCTGTTAAGTTTATATCAACTGAAAATATTGCAGGTCAATCATGAAAACTAAATTACACAAAATGTAATATGGACTCTGTCCAAATGGAACACTGCATGTTGACGTAAAAAATCACTTTAAAAAAAATGTATTCTCTATAGAGTTCCCTAATTGACGCATGGTGTCAATAGTCAATGAACAAAGTCACAGTCATTGTCATAAGCATTGTCAGTCATCTGTGGATGTCATTTTTATTGAGGCACTCTCCATGTCATTTAAACTAGCCAATGAACAGAGGGTATTTAAATTTGACCAGCTCACAGTACATGATATTTGAATATATTATATTGTAGAGGTGGCCTGGTAAGCACTTAATAGATTCTAGACAACAAACTCTGTTTTGCTTTATAACAAAAAAACGTAATATTTTCAACTGATTTCTCATGTCTAGGCATTAAGTAGTACAGCTGCAAGCATTGCTCTCAGGGATAAAGATTTCTACTCTGTTTATGATATTGAGGTGTCAACGGATATGGAAGCTGTTGCCGTGGATACCATGATGAATTCAGTGAAATTCAAAAATGGTGAAAGTATTAATTATGACCAACTGCTACTTGCTACTGGTGGCACGTAAGTTTACATTTATCCCATAATGCATTTCATCTTTATTTACTGGGTTTATTATGTATAAACATTAAAATCATTCAACCAATCCCAAGTCATCATACATATTTTGCAATATACTTCAATGTTCATCTCAAGCAGTAGTGGGTATATATCAGATGTTTGTAAATTGCATCATGAGAAAAAGGTTAACATAGAAGGCATTTGATTCACATCAAACGAAGAAAAGCTTATACTAGCATTATAATGTAAAAGTTGTGCACATTTAAAATATTGTTTATTTAGTTGACAGAAAAGCAAACTACTTGTATTATAGATGATTATTATTAATCTTATTTTCTCATTCTCACAAGTCCTCCCTGTAAAACAAAGTGTATTATATGTAATTGTGGGAAAATGATTGTGCTGGAAGTTTGGACCTGATATGATCATCACGGATTTGAAATAAATGTGCATCTGTATTCAAAGTTTAATCTTTTGAACCCTATAATTTTTTTTGCTAAAATTTTGAGAAGTTCTTTGCATTTCTCTACATTTCAATTTTTAATGTTGAACAAAATTTGTCAGTGGCTTACATATCTTGTGTTTGAAATAGATACTCAAAAAATTGTGCCGCAGATTTTGTTTGTGAAAATGGTTAAAGAGAATTAACAGCAAAATCCCAAAGTCATGGTTTCAAGCAATATTAAGTTAATTGTGGCATTAATTGTTTACTGTTCATTTTCAGTCCGCGAGTGCTTCCGATACCAGGCCATGACCTGAAAAATGTATGTCTGTTGCGTACTCCGGATGATGCTAATTTCATTGCTGACCACGCTAAGGGCAAGAAAGTTGTTATAGTAGGGACTTCATTCATTGGTGAGTGCACTTCATGTTATCAATACATTAAAGTATAGTATTAATTTAAATAATGTACATAGTGTAATGCATTTGAATAGTAACTTTCTATGTACCCCGGTAATAGTCCCATTTAATATCTGTGTTTTTTTATCTGTTAAATTTTATTTGACTGAAACTGTGAATAATTTAAAAAACTAATTATCAGTTAAAAGTTTTAAATATTGGCCAAATAAAGCACTACATTATTTGTTTGAACACAAGCATCAAGTTTTGTTACCTTTCATAATATATAGCCTACATTTTATTTTTAGATTTAATGAAATGTTAATGAAGAGAAAGTATGAGTAGAAAGTTTGCTTGACAATTTATTTGTGAAAATGTAACTTAAAATTGACATATTTTTTTGGTTACAATAAGTAAGGTATATTTCTGTACTATTTTGGAACTCTTGGGAATCTTGAGGTTATTATACAAGTATGAATACATACCACATCAATTATTAATAATTTATATCATAACTCAGATAAATACCGCAATCTGTATCTATCCTGAATATTTTTTTTTTAGTTAATATCTAGATTCTCGATATGCAAGGTTGTAATAGTTACACTATGTTTTCTAAATTTGTTCGAACAATTTTAATTTGTATCCAGTGGGAAATTATGTCCATCTGGTTCAAAGAAGAAAAAATAAAAATGTGGCATCAAAATTTTGGCTAGCAAAAACAATTGCATTCAAAGTGTTGGTAATATGTTTATACAATGTTCCTTGTTTGTAAGATTCTGCTTAGCATTGTGATATGCATTAGCATATATATGATGATGTTTATTCCCCAGTCTATTAATTTTTTCTCGTCATTATTTTAGATCCACGGTAGCATATTCCATTGTTATTTCTAATTTTCTTCTTATAATTTCACCTCTGTACCTGTATCTTGGACATGCTTCAGCAGATTACTTTCAAATTTCGCAGACATCACACGTCGTATCATACATATGCACATGCATTTGTTTCATGATTCAATTCAAGATGACCAAATGGCAGCCATTTTAGTGCTAAAATTCATTTTGGACATGGATCTCATTCATGCATAGAAATGTTTTATGCAAATTTGTTATGTACATTGTAAACGATGAAACCTTCATGCATATAATTTTTTTCAAGATTGTAATAAAAATAGCTAACTCAACATGTTGGTGATTTCGTTTTAACAAATATTGCACCAGTGGTGTATCTCTGACTTGCCTTGACTGATTTCATTTAACACAAATACACAATAAACTGTCATAAGAGTGACAGTCATAATAGATAAGAAGACATGAATGTCTTTTATTAGCCATCATACCACCAGCCTGAATTGTAACACCACTATACTGATATAATCTGCCATCACACTAACCACACCAACTTTAATTGACATTTAAATAGTTTATTGCTTTCTTCTGTAATTTTGCATGGAATTATTTTTTTTTCACATATAATTCACCCTTGTATCGGGATGTCTCATGTTTAAGCTCATTTAAGAGATCACCAACACGAACCATCTTTAAGAATATACTGATCAAACTACTAGTAATCTGAGTCACTCTGTACTATTTTCTGCTTCACTCTTTCATTCTCTCCATCTCAGGAATGGAAGTTGCTGCTTCTCTCACTGATAAAACCAGCTATATTTCTGCCGTGGGTCTGGAAAATGTTCCATTTGAGCTTGCAATCGGAGAACAAGTGGGAAGAGGCCTTCAAAAAGTACTTAAATTTTAATCTGTTGTCCCTCATTTGTTAACCCTCTCATCATTATTTCAATTATTGTATGGATCGATCAACCTTCACCAGGTGTATGATCATTCCAAAAGTGTAATAATGATGAGTGAGTGAGGATACTGAGAATGGTGATTTCATTAATTATTTGTAGTGTTGCGACTTTTTATCTACACAAATGCCATCACATTCTCTAATCAGGAAAATTCATAGTAAAAATTAAACAGTTTACATTACTCTCAAATGATGTCATCACCATATCTGTACCCTATACCCAGTAGGTATGTTTATCTGCATGTGTCGTTTACATTACATTACCATAGGCATGGAGATCGCTAGTTTTCTCGTTGCCACGGCTGGCCATATTACGTTGATTGGTAGGTCAAATACAGCATTCCAGCCATCATTAGGAGAGCATGTGGGCTCAGTGCTACAGCGGGTGAGAGCATGCATAATTTTAATTGTTTTAAACAATATATGCATGCATGTATGATCACTATTCGTAGATCCAATAGTTTGTACTCTTTATGTTTTAACTCATAGCACATCTCTTGTAGTATAAACCCATGCACATTATCACAGAAGAAATCATCATTGTCAATGACATGGTGGAATCAAGTGGCCATTGTTATTTTAAAATATTAAAATATTCATGTATTTGGTCATCACACACATAAATTATTTTTGTCTGAATTTTTGAAAAAAAAATCAAAATGTATTTTGGAAAAAAACTGACTAGCAACAACTTTATTTATTTTAGGGGTTTTAGCTCGAAATCATTAATAAAATTGATAAAATATAAAGGTTGGATTTACAATTAGATCAGTGGTGGGAATTTTGAGATTATAGCCCATGTATCTTAATTGATTAACTGTAGCCAATGTGATGTGTACAAGTTTGTGATAGATTCAAATCTGTAGAATTCTATTTATTCTGACATATATTTTTTTGAAAATCATGTCAGTTAAAGATATATATTGATGAGAATTTGCACTGAAAACATTCTTGTAGCATATTAGTGACTTTTTAATTATCCATCCAACAAATAATGTTGTGCAAGTGCTACAGAAGTAACATTTTGTAGTTTTAAATTATAATAAATCAAAATCCTATTTAGTCACAAATATGCAGTATCGAACATTAATATTAAAAAATATTTTTTTCTTTCATATTGCATCTTTAAGTTCTAAATCGTGCAAAAATTAATAAATTATTTTATTGTATTTCAATCACGTCAGATGTTGGAAGAAAAAAATGTGACATTTTACATGAATAACAGTGTCAAGGAGTTCCATGGTGAGAATGGTCAGTTAAAATCAGTTGAGTTGAAATCTGGTGAAAATTTACCAGCAGACCTTTGTGTAGTGGGTGCAGGTGTCATACCGAGCACAGACTTTATCAAAGACAGTGGACTTACCATGAATACCAGGAACCAACTTGTTGTAAATAAGGTGAGGATTAAGAATTATTTATTGTTATTCCTCAATTAAATGTGCACACCAAATATTAAATTGAGTGCAAAATATGTTTTTATGAAGACACTTCTATAATAATCTTTTAATATTTCTAAAATATTGTAATAGAATTAATATAATGTTAGGGTAGGGTAGTGCAAAGTAATGTTAGCAAGAATGTCAGTCAATCATTTGTTTTTTGAAGCTTTAATTCTGAACAAATGGTTGAAATGAGTATCACTTTTCAAACTTGTTCCATGATAACATGTACATCAATTTATCAGAATCTGCACTGATACTAAAAATAACAGTGGTGAGGTTGATAATGAAACTAACTTGTAATTGACAAAAGTCCTGGATATACAGGATTGTACCGGTAGCCATGTTTGAAACTGGTCCTGGAAAAACAAATGCCTTATTGGTTGGGGGGCACTTTGACTTCATTTGTTTATATAATTTTTACCAACCTGCATACATTGCTCACTGATCAGCACTAGCATACACTCTGCTGTGACAATGTTGCCCCTATGTGGTTTTATTAACATGAACACGTACATTTATTTTTAATAACAGCAGCGAACACCACCATTATTTGTGTGTGTGAACGACCAGTTATACTCAACAATTATTCAAGAAGATGCTTGATTCAAACAAAAGTAAACCCTAACAGTAAAATTTGCAATCTCCTCTTTCATATACAGTATATGAGAACAAATAAACCTAATGTATACGCTGCTGGTGATATTGTAGAGTTTCCCCTTACAATGGCTAACGATGAAAAAGTAAACATACAACATTGGCAGATTGCACATATGCATGGTAAGTGTCAAATTAATCAAAATACTGATGTCTATCAGTGTGAACTTTCATACTTATTCTTTCAATTTCTTCAGATATTCATTTTTGCCACTCATAATTGGTATTTTTTTACTCTTGTGTACGTTATTGTTATTAATTTGTTTAGGTCGTACAGCAGCTCTAAACATGCTAGACCATGATATAGAAACTCACTCTGTGCCATATTTCTGGACAATGATGTTAGGAAAGAGTCTTAGATTCACAGGTAAGTAAAGTGACCTTATACTTGCCAGCTGACTGTTCTGCAGCACTATATGTATCGAGTCTGAATGTTGCTAAAAGACATAAATTATTTTGAAAATTTGTCTATTCATATATTAAGTTAATATAATCAAGGATATGTGTACAAAAAGTTAGAGGAATTTTATTTGAGTACACGTGAGTAGTCAAGATTGATTTTGCTTACCGGTATTAGCCATTCCATTATAGTGATTCATGCATGTCAAGATAAAAATAAAGTTACCCCTGGTAGTATCGTATAAATTTGATTACAAAACTACATGAATATATATAACACCACTAGTTTGCCTTAAAATTCAAGTAATCAACTAAGCTTAGACCTGTTCTCTAAAAGTGAAGGGTTGTCACCTGCGCATACATGGGAATTGAGTCCTAAGTGGAGGTAACAACGCACACTACAAATGCAAAGGCTCATGAGTAGACGTGTCTTTGTAAACACCAACACGCTTTAGGCCATCCGTGCAGGTGACGACTCCCTCCACATCAAATTCCCATGAAACTCGACTACCGTTACATCTTTTTGTCTCTGTATACATGAAGGGTATAATGTTGGTCATGATGATGTCATTATTGATGGCAGTACTGAAGAATTGAAGTTTGTGGCATACTACACTAAGTAAGTAAAGATGGTAGTGGACAATGTCATGTGACTTGCATGTTGCATCACATGATCAAAATTGTGTCTAGGGTTTTCAGATAAAATGTACAGTACAACACATGTGTAAAATTCAGATGATTTACAAGGTCATATTTTGAATTTTCATAAATTGATTTTAAATCAGTGATTGTTTTTTCAATATACACTTGTTTTACCGCCTGCGATATGAAAACGGGTAATGCATTGTTTTTTTCTATCACCAGAGGTGAAAATGTGGTAGCGGTGGCTAGCATAGGTGCTGATCCCACAGTGTCCCAAGCAGCTGAGTTGTTCTCGGCAGGGAAGGAAATTACTAAAACAGAGCTACAGTGAGTAACAAATGAGTGATACTGGGTCTCATAGATTTGTATACAATATGTAAATTACATAATTTGTTTATTAGTCCCTGTTCGGACGCAGTCCGAAAACGGGGACCTATGTTTTGACCTCCGTGCATCAGTGCGTCCATGTTTCCGTGCGTGCGTCCGGTCTTGTATCTTAGAAATGCCTGAACCAATCACAATCAAACTTGACACATACATGATATTATACATATGCACATCAATTTGTTTCACGATCTGATTCAAGATGGCCGAATGGCGGCCATTTTTGTTCTAAAAATTCATCAAAATCAAGCATTTCTCGGCTGTTTATAGATGGATTTTGTTCAAACTTGGTATATACATTGGACATTATAGGACCTTGATGCGCATCATTTTGTTTTCAGATAAGATTCAAAATGGCCAACTGGCGGCCATTTTGTTTTAATAAATGTGGTTCTAGTGCCATATCTCTCTGACTTGCTGTGACTGATTATGTTCAAATTATAAATATTCATTATACATCATGTCATAGATATACAGATATATTGGTTTGACGATCCTATTAAAAATGGCCGAATGGTGGCCATTTTTGTGCTAAAAAATCATTAAATATCAAGCATTTATGGATGGATTTTGTTCAAACTTTGTATATACATTAGACATAACGAGTTTCTGATGCACGTTATTTTATTTTTTAGATCGGATTCAGAATGGCTGACTAGTGGCCATTTTGTTTTAATGAATGGGCTTCTAGAGCCTTATCTCTGACATGCTTTGACTGACTATGTTCAAATTTTATATATTCATTATACATGTACTCAAAATGGCTGATTTTATTTTAATTAATGCTGTTCTAATATCTCTGCATACTCTTTTTGACGATCAGATACAAATGTCAATCATTTAAATGTTAAACAATCATCATAATCATATTCCTGACATGTTTATATTCCAGCTATATTACTATAAACAAAACTATATATCTTAAATTTGATAATTAACGGGGACTGTGCCATGCATGGCTTGTTTAATAAACAACACCTACTCCACGGCTACCGTCCCAGTTATTTCCCTCATTCTTCATTATAAGGTAAGAAACACAAAACACATCTTGTCTTATCTCTGTTACTTTCTTTTTTTCAGGAGAGACAACAACTACTGGAAGGCTTTGCTGTGATTCATCACAATCCCAATCTAGCAGTCATACAGCTCATGTAACAGATATATTGCTTGTGCAAATAATAATGAATTACTGAAGCAGCTGCAAGTTATAGATTTTTGAAATATTAGGCCACAGCGACTTAATTTTATGGATGACATCCGCGCGCGCATTAGTTTTCGCCTGTTCTCAAAAACAAAACAAAATCCCCGACAACGAGTCTCCACAGATCAGTTTTCTGTACGGAACTTGCTCACTCATATTGTTGCAAAGTGCCGGCTTGTCGTAAAACTCGTTTTGGACTACCTAGTGATATGTACATTCCGCCTTGACTTGTACTGAAAATGGTGTTCATGCTGTACCTTGAATGCAGTGTTTCTGACTGAAGGTACTTCATCATGACTACATGTACTAGAGCTTGTCTGAAATGGTTATATCTGTAACAGTAATACAGTACGAGATGTGTACATCAACATGTGCCTCCTACATGTACAAATAAAGACTTCTTGTTTTTTTGATACACTGTGTTCTGTGGTTCAATTCTTAATACCAGCTCTGTAGTCCTTTTAGTTACAGCAGCATTTTTTTTTCGCCCTCTCGCATTAGTTTTGAGGTCTCCAGAGGATGTCATCCATAAAATTAAATCAGTGTGGCCTTAAGCAGTTTAGAAAGCAGTAAAAAGAAATTTAGAACTCTTATTGTCATGTTTATAAGTGACTTTCCACTTCAGAAAAATATCAACTTTATAGAAAGTGTTTTGGAGAAGCCTGTACTATGTCTCAAAAAGCAACAGTTTCAGAGAAATATATATTCCTGTTCCTAAAAGTAGTTAGTTACATATTAGTGGATTAATATTAGTCTTTAATTTTAATCTTTTATTTTTTGGTTAACATGACATTAAGAGTTCTAAATTTTCCTGAATTTCATATGACCTGATTATCAAATAATAACCATAAACCCTCATCCAGATGGTTTGATAACGCACTATTATAGTAAAACCTTCCTTTCTTCCAATCCAATAATGCTATATAACCTTAAAATTTATTCAGTTCTTAAGAATGTTCAATACAGTTTCACAAAAAAATTTAGAATTATTTTCTTTTTTTGTACACTGGGAGTTAATTTTTTTCTATAAACAGCGGGTGTCACTGACTTCATTTTGAAAAAATTGCATGCTTATATCATGCAATTGAAACACAGGCTTTACCAGGGAAAAAGTAAAACCCTTTCAAATACCCGGTACATGTATAAACAAATTTTTGAAACCTTGAATAATGATAGGGTTGGTAGAGAACAACATAAAAAATAAAAAAAAACATTGGCCTTTGAAAATTTGAATATTTTGTAAATACATGCGTGAAATGCTTCTGTGTCCACATCGAAGAGTTTATGATATAGACGCTGTAACAACCATACTCTTTTTATATTTGAAAATATTGGTTTATATTTTGTGAAAACATTCAGATTTAATATACAGATTTACGGAGTTGTACAATAATGCACAAGAGGAAACAATATTTATGAGATACAAAAGAACTGGCCTACCAGGGTATATTCAAACTATCAGAGATTGTGCTTCATATGCACATCTCGAAGGTGACACTGTATTGAACATCTTTAAGACAAATTTATCATTCCTGGAAATTAATATCAAAATAATGTATATAGTGTAAATGAATGAATATATATATATTTTGTTCTTCCATTGCATGCAAGTATGGAAATTAACTGATGGCATGTGCATCACATAAAAATGTTTTGGGACTGGTACAATTAAGGTTTAAGGATTTGGTACAATAATGGTTAATATCTCTTCTAAAGGAGCTTACATAGATGTTTCTATGGTCAAAATAAAAACTGGGGTAATATTTTAATGATCGAGTATGCAACAAATATGATTTTTGGCTTGTATGCACTTCCAATAGACAAATATGGTATGCATTACTGAGCATGTGTTCGATGCCTTTTGGGAGAAAAATTTTCAATCTAATATATAATGGAAACTCTGTCAAACTGGAAATTGACAGAATCTTGTTCCTAACAAATTATTCAGTGACCCGATTGTTAAGCTGTGAATTACACACAAAAACATTGCATAAAATAAATAGTTCCAATGCAAGCATTTCCCTCTACTCGCTCGTCTCGGCAATCAAATATGGAAGGCATGACAATTTGAACATTTACAATGAACTACTCTTAAATTTTATGCAATACTTTTTTGGGGGATTTGTACAAATATATTTTGAAAATACTATATATAGTGATATATAATTGTCTACACTGGTTTGAAATAAAACATGACATGTTACAGGAGTGTGTTTGTATATTATTCATCAAAATAAATCTGTTTCTTGTCCTTAAGTTTATTTAATGTGGAGAGAACATTTCTTTCCTTTTATGCCTCCTCTGTGCAAAGCACACAATTGGAAGTCTTTATGTGGGTATGTACCACAGTCACTTGGGGGCTGAAAATCAATAAATACTAATTTTCAATAAAAATCATCCGCTATACGTATATAAATAAACAAGTTGTGAAACACAGCACCGAGTAAATCGACACCCCATCGGTTTCAAATGTCGATTTCTTACCTTAAAATGCGAAACAAAAATTTTAGAGGGGATCAGGTGTTACGT